TAAATAATTTATATTTCAATAAATACTCTACTTGAAAACACTAATCTGAGATCGATTAGACTTACCTTGTTTGACTCCTTTACAGTTCACATATTGTCATCAAGCAATTGCAGCTTGAAAGCCCATGCGTGTACCATTGTGGCCATCCGAAAAATGGAAACAACACGAGAAAAAAACATCGTAGGGTAATGGTTTATTTTGCACGTGTAAAAATACTGAGTACAAGACAGGTACTCAAAAGCAACTGATGTGAATAGGGTGCTACACTTTTAAAGAGAACTTTGCCGAGAAAAAACGTCCAGTATTGGTAGGTGTTCACTACAGAGAGTGTAATTTATACAGAAGTCAGTAGAGTATATGCGGAGGAAGGGTGTCCACGAGAGACAGGCGTTCACTAGAGAGAGGTGTTCACTTAGACTAAATACTGTAAATGTAAATAGCAAAAGATGAATTGCACCTTATCATAAGCTGTATAAAGCATTCTTAACACAAATAGTTTTTTTCAGTAAATTTTATGAAATATTATCGACATTTGACCTAAACAGTGATGATTTATCTAATAGCCTATATAATTTCAAGTGACAGTATCATCATGCAACGACATCGTGGTAAATTTATATATCAATCATTTAGAATTTAGAATACTCAGCATATTCTGTATGTCACATTTGAAAAAGCTCTTCCTCTCTTGTATGTTTTCAATATGCATATAGATTTTATGTTGTATGTTACTCTGTAGATGTAAAGTAGTTGTAGTAAGTCAGCTTGTATTCGCGAATGCTCTATTTCATTTAAATATGAAAAGAACATGTCACTATTCCAATCATATTTAAATGAGTTGGTCAGCCGACTACCATTAGTTACATTCGCGAAACATAGTCTTTTAGCAAGTAGTTGTGACCAATGTAATCATGTTATGGTACAATATGTCAAAATGTTATTATAACCTCCCTAATATATCAAATGCTAACGAACGTATAATATCGTTACACAGAATGAAACACCATATTACCTCAACATATCCTATTATAGTGTAAGACATTTTAAGTACTCTTGTCATCAATTGGTAAAATTGATTCTAAATGGCGTGGAAGGGGTGGTTTGACATTGTTGTATGTTAGATCACAAATTGGAATTTAAAATTGTTTTCCTTATATATAACTGTTAGTGTACTCTTAGATGTGTCTTTTCCTTTAATGCTCTATGGTCTCGCTTTTTAGCAATGCTTTTGATACAAAAATAGCATCATGACTTGCATATAATACACATGGGATACATAATAGAATTGTTCTTCTGGCATGTCTGGCGTACTTAATGTTCTAATGAACTTGAACTGAAAAATCGGGAAAACAGCAGGTCACATTGAATGAATTGCTGAAAAGGTGGAGAATTATATTGATCCCGATTTTTTTGTTCCTAGATCGTGACACTGATGAACCTAGTACCTATAAGTGATAAGTGATGGAACCTGTATACATTTTAAATCCATGCAATCCAGCATGGAGAAATATCAATATATTGATCAATAATAAGTCCATTTTTGGAGATGGCGAGGTTATTAGAGGGATTATAATAGAAAAGAAAATAAAGAACATAGATTACTATTTTTCATAATTTTTTAGAAGATATATAAAATACTTAATCCAAAAGATAAGTTCCCCACACACATAACGGACTATTCTTTAGCGCCCAAACTAACATATCATTGAACTTGTTATTGGGTGGAGGAGGCACACATAACTGGAGGGCATAACAATTGTATTTTATATGATTCATTAGTAAGAAGCCTTTTGCAGATCTCAAGTCAATTTCAAAAGTCTTATATTATTAGTCCTTTTAGACTTGTTGTAACATGCATACTTCAATATGTATATCACTTTCTATAGATTTACCTTATTGTAAGAGTGGTATTGTTCAAAAGTGTAATCTATAAAAAATATTTGATCAGATATTTATATTCTATTTCAGAAAATAAAATTTGGATTGTAAGGAAAATAAAATATATTATACTTTCTTTTCCTTTTATTCAGACTCATACCTTTAACATACACTTCTTTACAATATCACACTACTTTTCAACCGTTTTAGAATTGCATGAAGTTGAAGAGAGAATCGGATCTAGCGAGCAAGTTTTAAAAAATTGTTTCAATTTAAGAAAATTTTTGGCTCATATTATCCCTTGTCAAGTCTATTTTCTTAAAAGTACATGCTTTACTTTAGGAAAAAACGATTTTTACAAAAATTATCTATAATTATATGGTGCCATTTTTATCATTTGGGAGAATTAAAAAAAAGTTTTGCACATTGAATCTTTAACAACGTCGACAATTTATAACATATCATGGACCTTTTAGGAGTAATTGAGATTGTAAGGAATAGATTGGTTGGTCAATTATACATTTTGCTTGCAATATCGTCACCCCCTATAGATCTAATTTTTCCTTCAAGTTTGAAATTTCAAAATTACAATGCGTTTCTACGAAAAATATGATCGAGCGATTTGCCTGGAAATGCGAAGACTGGGAAAATGAGAAGCCCCGTCGACCGCAAAGCTCTCTGTATCACATATTAAATTATGCATACTTCAATTTTTTCACTTGGCACCTTTTGAGGTGGATCCCGGCTATGGCATTAATGGTTGAGAAATAGGGATCGAAACCAGCCATAGTTTTCTCCTGATGACCATTGTGAATTGTTGTGTTTTATGGATTATGATGATGGCTTTGCGAACGGATGTTGACCCTTTGAATTGCCTATGGACTTCGAGACTGGATTTTATCTATCCCACATCATTTGAGACTGAATACTCTATCTTTTATGAGTACTAGTATCTACAACTATTTTTGATGTTATGAGTATTGGCTATCAATTTTTCAATTTTTCTTCAACATGTATTGTTATGACTTCAGCATGAATGAAATGTCCCTTGGTGTTCTGGTCCTGGATTGTGATATTGGTTCTCGATTGGAGGGGGAGGGGGTGTTAGACATTGTTTCTTTTCACGTTAGATGGTTTTGGGATATATAGGGTCTACTTTTCTTATGACAGATTTACACTCACAGTTTGCTTTTCTTGTTGGGTTTCCTTAAAGTTTTTAGTCACCCTTCCCTTTTGGCATTTGTGCTTATATATATACATTATGGTGAAATTATGGTACGGAATCTGAGCAAATCCCACTGAACAAACGTATGTTATCAAATCACTCGTCATTCGCACTCATGTCATGATCGAACTTAAGAGCAGTTGTCAATACTCAATATTACATTATAATCATTTTGAATTAAGCACATTCAGGGTTCGTACACCGTTTTCAAAATGAAATTCCTTGACATTTCTAGGCAAAAAAGGAAATTTCAAGATCTAGTTTTACTTGCACGCCCTCATAAAAAGTCTCAAACAACTGTTATTTAGACGTATTATGAAACATTTGGGGTTTCGCCTTTAGTACCATACTTAACTTGATTTCAATTATTTTATTCACCAATTTAATCCTGATATATTATATTTTCAATTTTACATTGAAGGCCGAAGGTAAACATACATGTACAGAGGCGTAACCAGCAAATGTCAAGGGTGCACTTTTTGGGTTTGCATCACTGCGATCAAAGTGAAACCCCCAAATGGGTAGGGGGTTAATCCCCGGAAAATTTTAAAAATTTACATTGTATATGGTGCATTCTAAGCATTTCTAATTATAATTTGTTAATGATTTGTAATGAATCCAAATGACAACTGAAATTCCCACCAAATGAACCATATTTTATCGAATACTAATCATTGTGAACATTATATTATAGCAATAATCTGACATTACTTTTGCCCTCACTTCTACACCAAAACATGATACCATATAAAAAATTCCTTCCTGAGTAGCGTCACTATACGGCATGAGCCTATACTACCCAATCAAATCATCGCTAGTTCTGTTATCAGGAATCATCTTTCTTTAAATTATCAATAATTTGCAAAAAAATAGTGGCTATTTTGAATTCAGAGGCCATCTTGAATATTTCTTCTTGAGCAGATATCCCTTGTCCCTAAGGCATCGCCATATAAAATTTGAGCCAAAGTAAAACTATAGGTTCATCTTTATATTACATGAAGATATAGTTTCTTATTTTCATGTTCGGTTATATCCGCCTCTTCCCGTGAAATTTGGACCTAATCCAAAAACTGTTAATAAGGTTTCCAAAAAGAAATATATGAAAAGTGTATTTTTGAGCAGAGGGTCTATATAACCAAAGCATCAGTATATAAAATTTGAACCAAATCTGTCAACTGATATAATTTGATCGCCCTGACAGATGAATAGACTGACGTACAACCGGACTGATGAACAGACAGCTTCTCAATATAAATACAGTTTTTACACTGAAAAGAGTTCCCATAATTTTTTCATCTCCCACCCTCCTCAGATTAACCCCTCAACAAAAAATGAAACATATACAGGTAATACCTTTGAATGGCCTGGGACTAACTTACTACATGGTAAAGCACTTTGGACTTCATTGATATCCCCTCGGAGCCCTAAAATGTATTTTGCTGGAACATTATTTTTTCTACACTGAAACAAAATTCCCTGACATTTCAGCATATTTGATAGAGGTGGCACCATCTTTTCAATCAAGAATTATTCAAAGACATTCAGTTCGCATACACAACTTCAAATGCTATTTCCTAAGTGAGTTATTTTTTATCGCTTCAATATTGATGCAAGTCTAGCTTTGTATCATATTTGATTGAGTGGCCGGGTGAGTATTGTTGAGGATTCTATCCTTTTTTATGAACCATGCCCCTTAAAGCAAAGGTCGTTGTCCCTGGGATTATCATCCCACCAAACGACAATAATATTCTCACTCATTTATAGTAAAACGTAATTATTAGATTAAGTTTTCAAGCCTAACCTGCACACAATTAATTGAAGTCGCTTTTTTATTAATTATTTTTCTTCATTCCTTATATTTACCATCAATGCAATGAACAAAACTAGAATAACTCAAGATGTTTCTTTACTACTACAAATATTTTTATTTTTAATAATACGTAGTGAAGGTACAATGCGTCTATGACAATTATTAATTGAAGAGAACATTTCTGATTCATTTCACCTTGATAAAATAGTAAGCTACGGCACACTTCTGAAAGCTAGATAGATTTCAAACGCCTAGCAGTTGAATTATGCACAATATTTAATGATTGTTGCACATTATTTCCCTAAGAGTCATCCTATTCAATTCACAATTTACCGTTTTTAGCAAATTAATTTAAATGGACTCAATCTGGGAAAATGAAGTTTACAAGATGAATATATCAATATAAAATAGAATTACACTGGAACAACTGCTGTAAATTAAGTTGATTCTCAGGATATGTGCAAACAGTGTACATTAACACTTGAATAACGACAATGAGTGTTCGTTTTTAAAACGATTAACCATGGTCACTAGTCTGCTGTACGTCATGGCATAATGCTGAACATTCAAAAAACTACATGATTTAAAATTGACACTATCATATAGGTTTATAACTACAAGAGGTCTTTACATATCCACAACTACACAACAGTACACGACGGTTTATAAGTCATCAAGATCATCGTTATGCTCCTGTTGATCATACAAAGTCCCCATTGGGGCCATGCTATTGAAGGTATGGCCGGTGTTAATAGCCGGTAAGGGCGTCAGTTTCTTAAACACATCTTTAGTGACAGGTTCATCCCCAGATTCAACAATCCTGTCTCCTCTGAATGGCATGACAGGCGTCTCAGATCTACCAGGAGTGGGGTCCTCAGATAGTTTACTGAGATCAGCTGCGCTGGGCGAAACTTTGCCCTCTAAATAAAGTTAGAAAATGTGACAGGTGTTATTTGGTGCACATATTAAACAAACGTGGAAAAATTAAAACATGAAACATGTTGTGATAATGATTGCTCATCTTTCAAAAGTGACGCTGTTATGTGACATACATGTACATTAACACCAACTGAAAATCAAAGTTAGTAATCAAGCTGAAAACAAAATAACTGCATTCAAACAAACTTCATAAAACATGCATGATGTTAATGTCAAAAGGCATTATACTGTAACACACACATGTAGACACTGTTAGTTTGATTGTAAGCTGCAATATGGTGCTATTGTAAAACGTATATTATTAGATGAAGTGTTCTTCAATTTGCTGTTATAGTGCTCTGCGGGTAACGTGGTATTGCAATTAAGGTATTATAAGGGGATGCTTAATCATCAAGATTTAAATCAGTGCCTTTGTTATCCATGTACAATGTGCTCACAGGCCCCATCACATGGAAGCTATTGGGTTTACGACTTATTATCGGCTTCAATTTTATCTTGGGTTTGCTCATATTGATCTTGGGGAGATCGTTAATGTCCATATCAACATGTGTACTTTTACGCCTAACAAGCGAACTCTTTCGTTTAACTATTTTCTTTTCACAAGGAGGCAGTTTATCAGAAGCAGTCTTTAGGTTAATTTCCTTTTCAGGTTTAGAATTAGTAATTTTGGGAACCTCCTCCGCCTGGTTGTGGATTTCTGAGAAAAAAGGAAAACAAGATTAGAGATTAGGTAATTCGTATCCATATTAAGTATGTATTAGCAGGATTGAAGAAACTTTTCATCAACACAAGCAAGTAAATCCTGGAGTTAAATGAGAAAGTATTAGAGTCCTAAAGGTCACTGTATAGGTCCTCGTCATTCTCCTGTTGGTCGTAAAGAGTGTTAATTGCACCCATTCCTGTGAAGGCTTTCTGTTTAGGAGCAAGCACTGGGCCTAATTTCCTATTAGCTTTCTTCCACTTCGAGTCATTTGCCACATCTGAGGCTGTTATTTGTTCCAAATCTTGCTGGTTAATGACGCTATCTCTGGGCATGTACCATGGTCTGGACATGCCATCTGGCCCCACGTTGCCTGCGCTTGAGGGCCTGGGGGAGGCAGGTGGGGGAGACAAATGGCCAGGGGTGTCAAGGCGTGTTGGGGAGTCATTTTTCAGATGCTTAAGATCATCTATGCTGTCAGGTGAGATTCTTCCTGTACTGCCAAACTCTGGCAAAGCAAGGGAAATTATTCAATATTAACTATAAAGGTAGAAAAGTTCCAAAGTAACAATACAGGAGCATTTATTTCAGTTTGTAAATCATACAAAATCCTGTACATATACATTTCTTATTGTTTTAGGTCTGTTATTAAGTAATCTAGAAAGAACAGACCATATAAAACAGAGTATTTAAATAAAACCTTATACAACTGTAGTGCTATTATGAAGTCATGACAAGAAATAAGCCAAACATTGTTTACTGTGATATTCTTTTACAACACTGCCCTTAATCCAAGAACATCTTTAAAAAATTAAATAAAGCTATGTTTAATTATTAAAATGCTTGTAAAATTGACTTTTCATGGTGTCAAATATGAAGGTAAGCTAGTAATTACTATTTAATACTTAAATTTACATACCATCTTAAATACTTACCTGGGGTTGGAACGCTTAATTCACATTTCTTTATTCACAACCAAATATATTTTGACATTTCAATAAATTAGGTTCTCAAAAAGAGTGTACTTACTAGATTTCTTTCCTTTCATCATGATAACAACAATGACAATGATCACTATGGCAACTACAGCAACAGAGCCTGCAGCTGCAGCTATGATAATAGTCGTGTCACCATTTGGTGCAGCCTGTAAAAAGGTAATAAGTCATTTTTAAGATACTGTATTAGTGCTGCTTTTATAGTGATGGGTGATAGTGATTTATTTATAAAAGTTACTCAAAGATTAGCAGAATGCAGAAGATTTTTACCTATAGGTTTACATGAAAAATTTATAGACTGTTTTACAGATTCCGTCTATTACTTACAGGAGGTGCCGGTCCACCAAGATACTGCTCACCATCCACTGTCATCTCTCTACGTGCCACGATGTCTGTACCATCAAAGGTTAGGAGCAGGTCTCTAGAAACCTCATCATAAATTTCACTAAGGACACTCTCAACATCAGGACCATAGCCATTCACAGAGAATGAGAGAATGATGCTTCCTGGAATATTAATATGTAACGATTGGGTGTTAATTTATTGACAATGCATTTATTAATTGATTGGCTGATACAATAAACATTTAAGTCATCAAACCTGATTGTGTTATAAAGAAAAATTTGTTTGTGTAGCCATGAACCTTGACGAAATTGCTACAAAACAACTTTGATTTGTTCTGATATCTATAGCAACTGAATATTGGCACTTCTAAGAGATAATGTATATTAAGGTAACTTATATCTAATAGCATATGATTCATCTATTAAAATGCATTGTTTAATACCTTTAGCCACATCCCAGCTACCCAGTGTAGCATTGGTGTAGTACTTGGGTACAAAGTAGTTATACATTTCGGCAATAAACATGCTCTCTTTGTTGAGGACAATAGCATCATAATCGGCATCAAAGAACAACTGAACAGCCTTGGTGGTGTCAACAGTGACAGGAGTATAGCTACTGGGCATGATGTCCATAGCTGCACTGGTCACAACAAAATCATAATCTGCAGGGTTGGAGGTGACATGGACATCAACGAGAACCCTGATGGGTGAGGAAGGGGTCATGCTAAGGCTGAATTGTCCTACTCCTGTACTTGGGTCAATAGTGACTGTATCCACTCCAGAGAGGACACCGACGTTGCTGGTGACGCTGTTCAGACTAACGCTGGCACTCCATGTGTGACCCTATTATGAATAATAAGCATGGGAACATGTATTTTAAGAACCGACACAAGATGTAAGATTGAAGATGTACAATTTTAGACCACGTTGGTGGCAGAAATTTTGAAACACTTTTGGAAACAACACAAGAACCAGCTGGTAAACCCTGACAAAACATGTAACATTATTATCCAGAGGTAAAACACATTTTAGAGAGCAAAATTGTTCCCAAGTTATTTATATAGCATGCCCAAAATCTTTAGATCTTGACACGCCGATCAGCACAAGATGACAAAAGTGTGATAAAAAGTTATTAGGCATTTATTCTAACAGTTTCCTGGTGATTATTTCATTCAATCTAATCTTAAATTTTACAGGTCATTTTAATGGCAATTCATTTATGTTTGCTATAATATACCTTTAATGCAATGTCTTCATATTTCAAGTTAGTGTAACCATCTATTATCTCAACACTGAGGCCCATATCTCCTCCAGCGGACAGCATTGAACCACTGCATGTTACATTAGCACTGAGGGGAGTGATTGGGACAGAGAACTCTGGTGTTGTCATGTTGAAGCCTGTGCTATCAGCTGGATGAGTCACAGCGAAGAATATCTGATACCCAGACCCTCCATGTGACACACCTAGACCACTAAAATTAGCTTGGCCAGCAGAAAACCTGCAATAAAACATTACATATATCTGAACCATAATAGATTACGTTTAACCGCATGGGCTCAAACTACACATTCTGAGTAGGATAAAATTGGCATGTATACTTACTGTATAGTTGTGTTTCCAGTAAGAGTGGCAAGAGTATGAGAGCCTTGGCCAAGGATCAGTGTAGCAGTCATTTCCCAAGGATTGTGGAAGGATCCAACAGCAGGCAAAACATTTCCCTGTAGATATAATATATAGTTTCTATATTTTACAATATATACATCTAAAGTAGGAATAAAGTTAATCATATATAAAAATAATGTGGAATTTCTGTGGAAGACTGCTAGATATACATACTGAGACTCCAAGCAGATTAAATACAGGGGCCGTCTTGAAGGGCACAGTCTCATAGAGGACATCCAAAGCTGTAGAATACTGTAGTGTTTCGGGTTTCATGTAATTCACGCCTGTTCCAACCTAAAGAGAAAAACAAATATTAACAAACAAAAAGAAAGCCAATGATACAGTATGTGTGCAATATAACAAGAACGTAACATTTGCAAATGAAATTGATGCACAAGATTTACTGCTTTTTTTGAAAATTCATTCTAAAGAACAGTTATATATTTTTCGTTAAACATATTCAAGCATTACCTGTTCATCATCATCAAATGTTTCCCAGTTAGGATCAGAGACATCAGGAACCGGTTCATAAATGACAATATCAGTTATGGTTGTGTTCAGCGACTCCCCGATTGTGCCAAGCTGGACAGCATCTACAATGGTGGCAGAGGCAGTTGCCAAATCAGCAGAAGTCAGTGCTCCTGGTTCTGTTGTGTTAGTGAAAGTAGAGCTTGGGGTCTCTCCAATTTCTAGGGTAATGGAGTTACCATTTGCTGATCTTTTGTTAAACAATGAACGTCGTTTCCTTCCAGAGTTTGCACTAACAACTTCCATGACCTTTATCTTGCTTGGGTCAATCTTAAGCAGTAAGGCCAGATTACTCACAATATTCTCGCCAAAGAATTCATCAATTGTGATAGCAGGAGTGTTGAAGCTCACATACAGTACAGATGTCTGCTTGATGGTGATCGGCCTGTTACCACGTATCAAAACATAAAGCTCTCTGAGATCTCTGTCAACATAGTTATCTCCAGCTTGACCATTTACAAGATCTGGGTGGTACTCATCAAATGTTGTTGGAGCTTTAAGTATCATATCTCCATCATCATTGAAATCATGATTAAGTGCTGGCCTGTAGACTCCATCCACATAAAGATCGAGACGGTAGGGGGCTTTGTAGAAGATGGCCACACTTACAGTCTGAGACTCAACAGCATTCAGCAAATGCAACCGCAAATTCTGGGGGCTGGTACTTGTGAAGTACAAATCATAATGTTTACCTGAAACAAAATATCATATGCAACTCAGGGATGTCATAGAATTTCAGATTCAAAGGTCCAAAGGAGCCTTGTAATTTTGTATCTCTAGACTACAGAAAGCAATAGAATAAATGACAGAATAGTCACAAGCGCTACATGTAAATATACAATTTTCTGAATCCTAATATTCCTAGAAGCTAGACTTGGAGTAACAACCACACTTTTTCCCTTCAACAATCTTAAAACATCCATAAAATTGTGTCTTGATAAGTTATATTTCCGAGTCATTTTTATACATATCTATGCACTGTTAATGACAGCAGCATGTGTAATTGTATTTAATGCTCATACCTGTGGCAACAATGGAATAAAATGTTGATATACGCTTCTGACATGTATAACCAAAGCACCAGCCGTGGTCTTCTGGCCCATTGATTAGGTCAACATATTTGTCACCTACAAGAGATATGGGTGAGAGACGACGCATTTCTGTGTCCTTATCCAGACTTTCTATGACCATCATCTCATAGTCCAAACCATGACATTCGTATGCCTGCCAATCATTGTTCAACACGCAGGATGCATCACGAATTATACCTAAAATTGAACAAAAGAACACATCTCAATTTTTCTCAAAGTAAATGTTTGTCAGACTCAATTAGATGAATAAGAATGTTGAATATCTGGACTATTCATATTAAAGAGAGTATGTACAAATGACACCTACATCAGAAAATCAATTTAGAAAATGAGCAATTATATTAAATTCTAATTGATGGTACCTTTGTTAGGACAAAGATCTTCTGGAAACAACCTTGTTCCATCAGCGGCTGTAAGGTATACCTTTGGTATACGATAGTCTCCAATCCCTCTGGACCGATCTCCATCCCAGGCCCACTCTGACTCTGGTATGATTGTTCCAATACTCCCAAGGAATGTACCATCAAGATCGTCCAGTATAGCCTTCTTTTTAGCATCACATTCCATGTCAACACAATTTGAAGGATCAATATGACTGAGTAGTGGTCTGCCAAGAAAGGCTTTTCCTTTCTCAGCTACATTTAAAAGTTCAATGTTGCTTGTTCTAACTGGGTGCATAGCATCAACATTATTGGGATTTGTCGTGATAACAATATCTTTCCCACCACAACGATTGTCCCCAAAATTTGCAAATGTGACAGCTGAAAATGCAATGTAGTTTTGTTTTCAAATTTTCTACATTTACAAATTATAGTTGCAATTATGTTTTATGTTTTCTGTTTCAATTCACTCTTTCATTAACATTAACAAATAGAGATGATCATATGTCATAACATTGAAACTGAAAGAAATTTTCCTACTTACAGTCCACAGTAACCAGTCCAGCAATAGCAGGGTAAGACGTCATTCCTTTAAAAGGCTTTGTAGGTGCTGCATTATGACCAGACAGAAAAGATGGCCAAAAGAATCCAACACGACCACTTGATTGGATACCTGTCCTGGCAAATCCACTGTTTTTAATGTTATCATCATTATGCTTTACAGTGTTACAATCATAGGCAGCACTGGTTCCAACAAAGAGTGAGTTGCTGACTTTATAAATTCTGTCTTCAGCTACATGTGAAAGTGCGGCTGGACCATTGTTAATCATAATCAAACTAAGTTGGTTATCCAAGAGTCGCACATTTTCAATCCTGGTTTCCTTTATACCTTGTTGGATATATATACCATAATCATAACTCATCCACAAATCAAAGCCTGAGATTTTCAAACAGCTTGCCATTGATGAAGGAAGGGTCTCCTTGTTCATAAGGACACCAAACATAGAGGAGTGGGCCACATTGTTAGACCATGCCTCTACAGAACTGCCTGCAAACACAGAAGATGTTTTGCTTATTTTGTTCTTAAACTTTCATTTTACGAAATATGGATGTCAAACCTACATAGGTGTCGCATTATACTATTCACTAACCATCCTGAAGAAATGTTCATATTTGGCAATGTAGTGGTTGTCATAGTAACTTGAATTGGGGTTCCGCAGAGCAACTGGCAAAAACCTCAATGAAAACTGTGATTATAGAATGGAGTATTACTATTGACATGAGAGTATAAAAAAGAGTTGCTGGTATTCTCAAATTTCACCTAAA